GACAATGAGAAGAATGCCTCTGAGAGGTACACTCGGTTCAAATGATTCTGCATATCGCGTATAGTGCGAGCAGAATCATTAGACCCAAGTGTACCCCTCAGCCGTATTCTTCTCAAATGACAATGACACAATGGACGAGCACAAACGCTGCATCGCGTCACAGAAGCGTGAAATCTTCCGGTGGAATGACATGGATGACTCCCAATGGGTAGAATGTGGCATCACCTAAGCCATTTCACCAATGGAAAGTCTCGAGTCCTGCGTAGATCCGTAACGCGTCAACTTCTATGCTCTTCGTCATTGAGGTCTGAAAATGATACATCTGAGGAGTTCGAGCTACCACGATCGAAGAACATCTCTTCAGAGGCTATTAGTTTTTAGGGGGCATTAATTGGTAGAATACTATGTCACTAATGTCATTCCGAGGTAATAGGACCAGAATGGTTTGATTTTAAATGTATAATTCCCTAAGCATTCTTCTCAACGAATAATCACGTTTAGTTTCAGAAAAATACAAGGTCGGTTTCGTGTTTCTTTTTCTCAGATGTGTATAATGCACGATTTATTAATAGAATAAATTGATACCGCGACTACTTTCGATCTATTATTTATTAGCTGACACCGAGGGGTGGAAAAGACCAATGATAATAATAACGTTCGCGAAGGATGGCTGAAGTTTGAGACTCGAAATGTGAGACTACGATAAGTACGAGTCCCTCGTCTCGTTGCTGTTTCCTCTCGAGGAGGCACGAAGCCAGGCAATTATTGTTCGCGCGTAAAGAAGAAAGCAGAGTTCGCGGATGAATGATTATTCCAGTACGGGAGCAACAGAGAAAAAAAAAATAGAACCGAAGAACAGAAGCGATGAAGCAAGAAGAGGAATTTATTCTCGTCGATAGAACGGTCTGCGATGTCGAGTCGCCTCGCTTACACGGAATCCCTTTTAATTATTCGATGTTCGTTAGCGTATCAATCGTCCTAGAACGTGGATATCATTAACGTTAATGGGCGTTAGGTCACAGAATGCGACTCCTGCTTGCACCCATTTAGCATTTATTATTAATTGTTCCATTTTCATTTTACGGTAGGTTCTCTTTCATCAATTTTAAAGGTGTGCTTTTATTTATTATCTTTAATTTAATCGATTTTAGGAATAATAAGTGGGAGCATGTGCAACGTGTATATAAAATGTATCGAATTTAACTGTAGAGAACCAGCGATAACGTAATAACGATTAATAGTAAATGTCCAATGGCTGGAAACACGAGCTGCATTCATTACTAATGTTAAGTTTCCGACCGCCACCTGGAAACCATTTTGCGAGATATTAGATTAATGTCTGTCGGAGTAATTTAGGCGATTAATACGCTCCGAAGCAACGATTGAAAAGGCATTCGACTGTACGATTAAACATAGATTCACATTCTCCCACGCGCGTCTCACAGACACAGACACTCGTACACTCGGGATGCTGCGAAGAGCAATTTAATATAGATGGACCTGTCTTGCGAACATATCCGTGGAATTCGATAAACTCACTTTGCTTAATTTCATGATCAATTGCATCGAACGATACACTCATTTTTAATATAAGTCAGTTTCGTTTGGGACAGTCTAAATAATTTGTTATTATTTTTACAAGTTAATCCTGAACTTGAAGAGACTTGATCCTTGACTGCACGATTTATCCAAGTTTAATGAAACGTGATGGACTTGTTTGAAAAGTCAAGTATTCGTGATCCGAATCAGATTTTTTGGAACATTATTTGCATACGGTACTTTTTGAGAGGGCAAACAGAACATTTTAACCACACATATATACGCAATTAAACAAACATTTTTCTAATCCTTCAGAGACCTCCACATATTACGCCAAAGGAAAACTCCATAGCGTCACTCATTTCCTCGGAATAAAATCCCAAAGAAGCCTCCTCGATCAGGTTGTCGACTTTCGATGGTTGACGGGCGTATTCATGGCGGAACTTCCGAGTCGCCCTAACGGGATTAGAGTTAGGACACGATAACCACATTCAGCGCACTTAAGCAGCGTGAAATATCCGCCGATTCCCGCGACAAAGGAAACGACGCCTTACGGTCGAATTGTCCCGCCAAGGCGAATGAATGAAAATGATCGGAAGTCGTCGACGAAAGCGTCGGGATGCGGTCTGCGGCGGGCAACCGGCCAGGCTTGGACGTTTTGAATATAATTGAAGCCCTACAGATGCGACCGTTTCGCGCTTTTAATATCGCGCGCGAACACAAAGCCCGGGATAATTAAAGTAGTCGTCGCTGCCCAGAAAGGAGATTCGCCCAAGGAGACGTCGTTGCGTCGTAATAACCGGAGATGAAAGAGTGCGAATTGAAAAGCTGTGAAAAAGCTCGAGGAAGGAGCGTAATATCTGAGATCGGAATCCGACGACTGCTGCCAGGATCTGTTTTTTTTTTTTATGTTATCGATAAGTGCCTCTCCTGCGTCGATCCATTTGGAAGCACTTTCCAAATGCACTTCCATTTGTAGTGGTTCATGCTCGTGACACTGCTTCGGGACAGTGGTAGCATGTTTTGGAATCTTTTCTCGTTCATTTTTAGTTTTAGCTAATTTTTTGTTTGTGATAGATTGGTTTGAAAATGGGAATTTGTATTGAAATTGGTATTGAAAAATAGAAATAGAAATTTCTATAAGTACAACTAAAATATAATTTAAATTTAATTGTACATTATTCAAGTAATTGAAGCACATATACTTCCATCAATTAGGTGCAAGATTATATTGAACGAATTTCAACGCGACTCGTATATTTCTAATGAAGCTCTATATGTATTCCATTCCTGTGGCATGAATTCTAGTCACAAGATCGTTAGAGTAGAAAGCACGTCTGTTACAACGCCAAAGAGGTTCGATCTCGAGACGAGAGAAGAGTAAATACGTTTAACGTCACTTTGCCGTACATGTCCCCAAGCTGAGTACGATAATTAAGTGAACCTATCCCGCGACATGGCACTTTATACACCTTTCGAACTTCTCTGACACGCCGTGGTCCGACATTGTCAATTAACGAGCACTTTGCAATCGCGAAGACGACTTTACGTTGCATCGATTTTTTAGCCCAGCATTCGCGATATTTCAGGCGCAGCCTTTAATTTGAGCCAAAAACGTAAAATAATTAAAATTATAAATTTTAAAGAAAGAATGGAAAATTCTTTACAGGATTATCATGTATAATTATATATTTGTTGGATTTTTTCTACAACGCATCATTAATTTGAATATTGAAATTTGAAATATTGAAATATTATTCTCCACATTAATATCAATATTTGAGGAAAAGACTCACAGCACGTATCCACATCTCTTAGTTGAAATTATTCTAGACTTCACTGCGTACTTCGCGTAGAAAAAAAATGGCGTGGCCGTCCGAGGGTTAAGGTTTTACGAACCTTTCAATCCGCCCTCTCCCCCGAGACAAGATTACTCTCGTTTCGCTTGCTCCTTTCCTCTCTCGAGCCCACCCGCGCCACTGTCGCGTCTCGATTCCTCTTCGATTAATTTCTCGAACGATCCGCGCTTCGATACCGCGGCTGGCATGCACGACGAAGAATATGCCGACTTCCTTGGCACCGAGGCATCGACAGGAACGCGTCGACGCGAAAATCGGACCGGGTCGAGGGAAACAGAACACGCCATTGGAACAAAAAACAGCCTCGACGACGAACCCATGACTACAGGGAACGACTGAAGCATTTTAATTTACTTCCATCACCGACGACAGAGCAAAAAGTGTGAGTACGCGAACCGAGACCGAGGACTTGTCGAATTTTCGACGTATATTTGAATTTCGTTAAATATTAATCGCACATTAATGAACCACGATGCCAAATCTGAATTTCATCAAATAGTTTTACTTGGAAAAAGCAATTTTTCGAAGATACTTCGCTTTATTATCCAATAAACCAGAATCCTGTCTTGAGTCTGTCAGGTTTCGCTTTTCTTATTGTTGTTTAACGCACGCACTTGCACGTGGGAGGAAGGAAAACATCCGAATGCGCCCGAGTTAGTGGATTTTGGGTACGTCGAGGTGACAGCGACCTGTCGCGTTTCAGAAGCGAACTTATTCAATTAAATCCCGGTAAGTTGGCGCCGAAGTTTCCAAACTGTGGGGCAGGGCCGGGTCGTTTCGAGCTGGAGAAAGGAAATTTCTTCCGTCGTCGTTCCTTTGTTTCTGCCTTTACGACAGTAACAACGCGTGAATTCGAGCATTGTCGCGAAAAACTTTCTCGGCGAAGAGAATTCGGCATTGTAGTCCAACATGCTGGCCGCGATTAGATTTGCGTGAGACGATTGTGTGCCAGGAGACCAATATCACGAGTAACGTTTCCCCACTTGCAGGTTCCACTGCGCAGTGATTGTACAAAACAATTTCTCAATCAAAAGAAGTGGTGAGACATATCGTGAAGCTTTTCATCCTTTTACTTTCATTCATTTTTAAGTTTTATTTGTGATGTTTCTTCGATTAAACTTGGATAAGTATTTATTGCTCCCTGATGACAGTCCTTCTAAGGCTACTTTTCTACAGACAGTAATGAGTGCACCGTTCCAAAATTACCTTACGCTCGCAACTTTTCATATTTGCCTTTGCATATCCTCTTGCCAAGAAAGTAAATACAAAAACCAACAAAATATTTCCACCCTTCAGAAACACATCATCCATTCCAAAAAAGTACTAAAACTGTAAATCTTCAATGCCACACATCCAAGCGAAGATCAAAGATAAAACGTTCACTCCGAAATAAAAGGCGAGCCAATAAAAAAAAAAAAAAAAGAGAGGTTTGCGTTACATCGTAAAGAAACGTGACCGATCAGAGACGGCGATCGTTCACGAGTAAGAAGGGAACGAGGCAGGAAAAATCAAAGCGGGCAAAAAGCACCCTTCGGAACCCCTCCCAAGCGGTAAAGTAACTCACACTGGCACACAAGTTTTATTTGCAGAAACTCAATGTACCTAACAGGGGTATAGCGTCGGAGACCTGGGGCAGGGTCTCGGCGACGAGGTTCAGGAACACCGTCAGCGATAACAAGATGGTCACTCCTGAAACAGTCGTAGCCCAGCGTGCTCAATGATCCGTAAACGTATTCGCATTTGAAGCAAGTAAGCCGACGATCGTGCTCGCCCATTGGCACGAGCGTCGGGTCCCTTTGCTCTCTTCGCGTTGTCCAGACGACTGACAATCCGGGGATCAAGACGCAAGGTGAATCCCCGGTTTTAAAACAGCCGTCCGATAAAAGTGAAGAATGGGAATCGAAGCGAGCGGGTCTACTTCGGGATCGAGTGGCCGATCCTCGTTCGGATGCGATTCATCTTTAAACTGCTACCCGAGAATTACTTTGACACCGTGAATAGTAAGAGCTCAACGATGCTCGGAATATCATCGATCCTGATCCATAAGAATATGGAGTCGAAACGGGAATTATTATTCGCGTGGATGCGATAGGAGGTGCGTTGACACTTTATCTTTGTTATAATTAATACATATATTAACATAGGCAGACATTGACTCGTGCATACAACATATATCAAATTACGTGTCACAAGACATAAACAGCATTCGTTTCCTCGAGTATATTTTAAGATGACCAACGACACAGTTAACAGGTAGACACTGAAAATAAAAAGGCTACGAATGCTCCTGGCAGATAAAGTGTCAAGGGAAACTTCTTCCTCCGTCGAAAATTCAGCTCAAAATGTAACAGCGTCTTCAGAGGGAAGATTAAGATACTCGACGGACGCGAATTGGGCTCTGCGATAGATTTGTTCACCAGCTCGGGGATGATCGGAATGTACGCGTAAACGTTTAAAAAATGATAACTGGGATATGACTATCCGAGATGAGTGGAGTCTTGGTGACAGAAGATTGTATTAAAGAATAACCAGTTCGGTTAGCAGGCTGTTTGGATGAGCGCCAAAAGTAATATGAAACGAAATTGGACTTGGAGTGAATTAGGAAGAACTTCGTACCTAGAAAGTGCACGAAAATCAGAACCACCAAATACCTATAAAGTGTACGAAACTAATAATCTAAAAGGGGATCGACTAACTTTTAAACCTTCATAATTGTGTATGCAGACGAAGAAGATACTTTCTGATCAGAGGCAAGACAACAATTGTTATTGTTATTCTTAATAAATTTCTTTCAGAAAAAAAAAAACAAGTATACTCAAAGACTCATCAATTTGATCACCTCACAATCTTTGGCACCTTATCGGTATTAGAAACAGGCATCCATTGCGTAACGCAGCATTGGAGACTTCAAGCCATAGAAATTTTATTACAGGTAAACAGCGAGTGTTCATCGAGTCTCTCGAGGGGAATGAGTTAAATAATAAATAATACGAGTGCAGGGGGGGGGGGGGCGGGGGCGGGGGAGGGGGGCGAGAGAGGGACCCGGTGCAACAGGGCGAATTCGCGAGATTCAGTGTAGCGACATTTTTATCAGGGAAAACGTACTCGTTACGACCGAGCTTTTCTCTGCAATGTCGTTTCTTCCTGAATATTAATGCCAGCAAAAAGGCGCGTCCCCGCTCACCTCGGAAGAATGTCGTGCATGGCAATTCCCCCTCTGCGTCCAATAAGCTTGAATCGCGAGATATTTACGGGGGAAACTTTTTCGTGGCTTCGTTAGCGACGGAGATTGATTTCGCGACGAATGGGACGTGATAAAAATGGATGTACGGAGGCAATCGAGTGGGACTAACGTTACGTTTAATTGTTGTTATACATGCACGAAAGCGAGAGTGGAATGACTATTTATTTACTGGTTTCGAGGAAAAATTAAATGTTCCTTATGTTCTTCTTCCTAAATTGAAATCTATATTATCTATCAGATTCACTACATGTCTAGCAATTCTCTTGAAACATTTTGAAATAAAATACGTAGTTTTCAGGCTAAAATGTGACACCCTGTATGCATATTTCAGGCACAGTATGTTCAACTTTGTTAATGTATAATATTTTATATCTATCAATTCTGAATGTGACAATCACCTCTTCCACGAATATATATTTTTTTTAGTATTTTATCAAACATGTAGCTGTTTTTATTAGTTTGTGAGCCGGATTAAAAAATTCAATAACAAAATAACTCTTTGAAAAACGATTATTTGATTTCGCCTATATGAACGCTGAATAATCGATAACCGTCAGGTTTTACATGATTGTTGATAGAATATCGAAGCACCGTAACAAAATTTGTTTCTGCAGATTTTTTACATAAAAATTCAAATAATAAAATATATTTTTCTTTTTTATTATTGGTCGCTATTATTACTAGACACAATTGGGGTATTAATGTTCGTAAAATTAAGGATCATTGATTTTATTTTATTATTTGCGACTTTGATGTATAGTTATATTGAAATGTTTTTAATGGATAAGTTTAAGTATTATATCTATTTTCAATCGAAATAAATAAATCGCACTCAAGGAAGCACTTTACATTCAATGTAAAAGAGCGGGTTTCTGGGTGCTGTAGAATTAATGGCGCATTTAATCGGGAGCGGATTGGGGCGGTCCGTGAAACACCAGAAAAATCGTCGGTTTCCCCAACGCGACAATGCACTGCATTGTTTTTCGTTCAACAGAAGCTTCCTATTTTCACTCGAACTTCTGTATTTGCATCGACGAATGCGTTAATATCTGACTTCGAGCACCAGCACTTTTCATAGACGCGAAACACTTTATTCGAATAATGAATGACAAATAAATCCACCGTATAATATGATACCCCATTTTGTGGAAATATGAAACACTAAATCAACAATTCACTGAAACTTTACGTATGCACATCGAGAGGAAAATAAAGATATTTCTATCCATTTATTTCAAAAATCTTTCATCCCTTATTCGAAATTTTTATCTAGATAAAAAGATGCCCGTTTTCGGGGTCGACGCGATACAATTTCCAGATAGATTGCATTTGCAATGTCGATGGTCTGTCGTTCGAAACGAAATTTCGAGACGCTGAGCTCTGACAGGTGAAAGCCCAAAAAAAAAAGATCGAGGAAGAAAATAGATAAAAAAGGGAGGAAAATGGGTGAAAGATGGTGGAAAATTTATAGGCTGAAACTGAGAGGCGGTAAAATACTAGAAAAAGAGAAGCTAAAAGAGAAAGAGAGAGAGACAAAAAGTAAGTGATAAGAGAAGCTAAACGAAGAGCAGAGAGAAGGAGACAGAAAATAGGTCGGCAAGAAAAATTGCGAAGAGTAGTCGAAGATAAAGTTAAATGTGAGAAGAAAGGACTTGTGAGAAAGAAAAAAAACGACACAAATTCAAGGGTTGAAACATTGCTAGATTTTCAAATAATAGACTGGATCATTCCATATTTGTTTTCATTGAATTCAAACGCAATTGAACACAGTGTCCAGTTTTACGATTGACATCGACGCGGCAAGCTCATCCTTTGGAAAAATCATTCCCCTGTTACACGAGATTCGACCGGTGGACACAGCATCCGACTATTCGCGAACAGCAAACCGTCGTTGGGGATAACAGATTTCGCCTCGTCACCGTATTCATAGCCAGATATTTTTGTACGGATTAACGAACTAGCCAAAAACTGTACCCGAACACCGGCGACGATGTAGGCGTTCGTTATCGTGAAAACCGTGCGATTCAAACTTCACCCCTGGGATGTATCGTACTGGAACTCGCGAGACGCGTCGACTCCTTTGCCAACGATACGGGATTTGCAATTTAATCGTGGCTATTGCCAGAGAAAATCACTTGTTCGACTGATGCGGTACGGTAAAATCATGTGAACTTTTCATACTTCACAGATTAACTCTTTGACCATGATCTCAACCAAAATATCAAAGTACCCATAAATGCTTGCTGAAAAAACGATCAATCGTTTCTCGTAACGAAAATTTTCCAGCTTCGAATTCAATGCAAATTGGTGCTAATGATAAACGATACTTGCAATGCTTGCAATGCTCGTAAAAATATCCAATAAACGTTCACTTTGAAAACGATGTGGCTTTTGTTGTTTGCAATGTTTCTTAACACAATTTTTCCCGAAATTCGATTGGAAAACAACCGACTGATTATACGTTTTCACGAAATTAAAGGACTCGAATGTGATAAATAATTACATTGCTGTCCCTGGGTTCTCTCATCAACTTCTACAGGGTGTCACATTTTTTCCTACTTTGCGAATGTTTGCAACGTGATCAAAAGTTAATGTAAACAAATCTAAGAAAAGTCTTTCGAAACGTAGAATTTATCAACTTTTTAGACTCCGTCGCCGAGGTACGTCCGTTTTTCTGGCCCCGTCCTTCGCTCCAATAAAACAGAATATCCGCAATGATATCATTCCGCGTTTCATACACACCATGGGCATGTTCTAAAACCCACCATGCTTACAACGGACGAAATTAATCACCGTTCTTAGGGAGCACTGAAACTTCAGCTATCAAAAGAGACGTTTAATCTCATTAATAATTCTTTTTTTGGCTGTACCAGGAACACGGAACTTTTCAACCGTAAAAGCGGCTACTTTTCCAACATTAACCCACCAAGATCGTTAGAGCTCGGAGTGCTATGAATTTCCTATGGAGGCCACGAACCGCATTGGCGTAGAAAAAAAGATATAAATTGCGGTCAGCTGGACATCGAATTTCATCGAGGTTTCGAAGTAATTCCTACCCTGGTAAAAAAAAAAAGAAGAAAGAATAAAAAGAGAGAAAGGAGCGAGTCCTGATATACGGACTTCAGAAGAAGAGGATTTGAGATAGATAAGTACAGGTATCGTTGAAAGTTTCGCGAGAAAAAATATCCAAGACAAGAACGGAATGCCGGGTATCTGCGAGACGAAGGGAAGTATTTTCATCCTGAGCTCGATAATCCTCTGATACGCGGAAGTATGTTTGGAAACAGTATTTCGGAAAAAAACTCCCTTGGCACGGACCTGGGATCCACGCGAGAAACACCAAAAGTTAGGCGAAAGTTTCGCGGTGTTTATTTCTATTGGTAGAAATTGGAGTACCGAGAAATTTTGTTTTCTTGTGACAATTCGAATTGTTCTTAAAATTATT